GATTAGAACAAGTGGAAAATGGGGCACACAGAGCAAAAAATGGGATGCGGAAGACGAAAATGGGATATGTGGAGGAGGCAATACTCCTCCCTGCAGCCTAAAACAGCTGATTGTTGGGAGACCAATCCAACCGACAATCAGCTGCTTGTGCTAATCAGGCTGTGCTGAAGCTGAAACAGGCTGTTTGCTGTTTGCTGCAAGGAGCCAACTGCTGGGAGGCAGAAGGTAGGGGCCGGCAGGTGGGTGGGGCTAAATTCAGTGTATAAGACGCACCCAACTTTTAACCCCCTTTTAGGGGGGGAAAAAGTATGTCTTATATTCTGAAAAATACGGCATGCCTAGATTAATGAATGTGTATACTTAATTTCCCTGGTACACCCTACACTGAAACTTCAGCAGAAGACCTATTGGGCTAGGTTCTATCACCAGAAGAATAAAACAAATATCTATAGCGCTCATGGAAATCTCGAAGTGGTCACCTCCAAGAATGCATGTATTTGAAGCTCAATGTATGACTAGTAATTTGAACATGGGAATTTCTGCTCACATTCCAATCCAGAGATGTTACATCTTTGTTACTTGGTACGTCTTGCCCTCCTTCTCGTATACAGTGCCGAAGCACCAGCTGCGTAGATCCGCTGGTACTGTTTTCACTAAGATTCCAGATTCTTGCCGTTGAATCTCCAGATCTGCAAAATAAACAGCCTCTTTAAAACAAAATACAATTCTTTTCAGTCAAGCTCACCAAAGACTTAAAAGAGAGGAATATGGAGTGTTCTTGAAAAGCATCAAGATGTACTACCATACAATTGAATATAACTATTCAGTTATAAGTAGACCTCGACTTACAACTAGTCGCTTAGTAATCGTTTTGAAGTTCCAATGGATCTCCCTGTGGGTTACTTATGACCCGGATTTGAAGTTCTGATGATTGGGGAGTCCCTCTGGTCACATGACCACAATCCAAGCGCTAGGTGATTGGATTGCGTTTATGGATATTTATAGCATCCCAGTCACTTGACTGTGTTTTATAATGAAAATTGGCACTTAATTATGGTTTTCACCAAAATTGGTCCATAGCAAACCTTTGGTTCACCTAACAACCAAAGCAATAAGGTCATAAAATCAGGTCAGTTATGTGACCAGCGAGCTTTCGACCATCACAACTTTCAACCATAATTGAAAGCTCCATTATGGTCATAACTCGAGACCTGCCTATGCAATCATCCTCTACCTAGATTCCATAACAAGATTCAAACTCCTTGGACTTTAGGCAGATAACCTGATTGTCCCTATTCAACCAACTAAACTAGAAGAGCATTGTCTTACATTCCCCTCCTCATACAAGTGTCTTATGTGCTACTAATCAGACTCAAAGTCTCTTGTTTCCTACATTTCCAATTCAACAAGTTAGGAAGATATGGAAATGAAGAAGTTTTCTTTAGGATTAAAGCTGGAAAAGAGAGGTTACATTTTCAACTTCTTTAGGAAAGCATACCCTGAGGCCAAAAGATCACTGACAGGGTTCCAGGCGCAGATGAAAACTTCAGATTCGTGACCCCGCAGCACCACTGCTTTGTTAGGAGGGATTTCAACATCACCATCCACTTCCATCATATCTGTATGATTATCTATCCAAAAGAAACCATAAGGAAAGGGGAGGTATGTTGCCATTAAATTATTGTTGTTTTGTTATTATTAATTCATTCATGCCCTACGTCTAGCTTATGGGATACCTAAGGACATCATCACGTCTATTACAGGTAGTCCTCAACTTACGACAGCTCCTTCAGTGACTGCTCAAAATTACAATGGCACTCAAAAAAAGTGACAGGATCGTTTTTCACACTCACGACCCTTGTGGCATCTCTATGGCTTTGTGATCCAAATTCAGACGCTTGGCAACTGATTCATATTTATGANCTTACCTTGTCCACACCTGCACTTAAAATGAAGTTCCCTTTCTTATTCCATTTTAATGCAAATATGGGACCTTTATGCTGTCCTAATGTGCTGGCAAGATTACCTAAAAATAAAAAGGACACCAGTTATATTTGGCCTGATTTACCAAAAAGTATTTGAAATACTTCTTCCTGTCATATTTAATCTTTAAAAAGGAAAAGAGGAAAGTAATGTTGCTCTCACCATCTTTAGTCCATATCCTTGCAAAACCATCATACGACCCCGTTGCTAGGAGCGTACCTTCACTCTGGAATACAAAGTATAAACATTATTCTATTACTATGTGTTCTAAAAATCTGTATTCTTCAAATGGAGCATGCTTCCTCTGGTTTAGAGACAAGCAAAGTGTGAATTATACACATCCCCCTCTCAAAGCTTTTGTGTTTCATGAAATTTTCTTTTAACTTGGTCGTGTGATCATATCTTCCCAAGCAAGAAAAATCATTTGTTTGAAGAACTGCTAGACATAAGAGGTCTGCAAAATGTTTCAACCGGAAATGATCATTTTTGGGCTTCTCATAAGATCACAACAAAGCAGACCAGCTCATTTCTGAATCATTTGGGCCAACTCTAAACCTCAAAAGTGTATTTAATGAGTCCTGTTATAAATACCTTTCCACAGCCTCTCTCGGGAATTAGTGGCTGGCCATTTCAACATAGAAACTTTTTAAAGAATATCTCATTCCACAGGGATCTTCTTGCAAATCTATCATTTCTTCGTATCCTTCCTTTATTGAACTTTTGAGAGTTGTTCCCTAAACTTCTCTTGTGAAAGACTTTTTGATGGTTGAGTTAATTCATTTTGATTTGACTCTAGGGGGAGTTTTTTTGCTGCACAAAGATTCAATTGCGGGTGAACGTTTCTGGTTTCTTCTTGTTTCTGTTAAGATTATCCGGAAAGATTGCTTTTGTTCCCTCATACAAATGCTGCTGTTCCACATTTGCTTCACATTCTCTGCAGCCACATTTTCAGGCACAACTGCTGTTTCCTAACTCCAATATACTATAGTCCCAAAGGTGCTTTTTCAAGAGGCGACTTGTTTAAAAGTCTAAAAGTTTAAAAGTTGCCTCTTGTAAAAGGATCTTTCGGACAACCATGACCTGGATGACTGAGAATCTCCATAGACACATACAGTGCAGTACAGTAAAAAAAAACACCAATTTGCAAAGACTGCGCTGAGTTTTGAAAGCTTTTTGAAAAACTGGGGATATACCGTATTTTTTGGAGTACAAGATGCTCCAAAGTATAAGACACACCTAGCTTTTGGGGAGGAAAACAAGAACAAAAAATCTGCCTCTGCCTCCCAGCATTTTGCCTCCTTGGAGCAAACAGCACGTTTCCATTTCAGTACAGCCTGATTAGCTGATTCTTGGGCCTCCTGACATC